TGTATGTATGTATTTGTGATAGTACCTTGACGACACGCGTTTCCAGATCCTGCACAAGAATTTTTGGTTTTTTATGACGATGTCGCTTTTTGTGTCGATGATGACTGCAAAGAAAAAATTTTATTATTGCAAAACTTGTAAAATATTTGCACAGCGAAATTTGATTACTTCAATATACACAAGGGAATTAGTAGAGCTTCCACATATCGCACACATATTTGAAAAGAGGCAGAATTAAAAAAAAATGTATGCCAATTTTTTGCATAAATCAATCGTAGGATTTATCTCAAATTAATGCAAAATATTTTTTTCTTCGTGGTTAAAATATTTCAAACAAGAAAATTACTGTTATGCCTCTTTCGAAATTATTGGCGTTGAATCTGTACGGTCTACAAGCAGTTATATTCCCCTATTCGATTTTTGAGCTGTGCCCCGTTTGAACAGGGCTTGCGATATATATAGATATAAGATATACATATACATATAAAGATATTTACTATAATTCGAGATACTATCCCCCAAAAAGAATCAGAGTGTACATTAGGCCTTGGGCTGTAGTTAATAACGGCGCTAGGGGTGCACTGTGTGGAGGAGCGCGCGAAGCGGGTAGCTTTAAGTGCACACCTGCAGCGTGCAGACACGATGATGCTTATAGTTACCATATATCATCCTCATAGATTGCGCCTTGTAGTTAGTCGAGAGAGAGTGTATGGATCTCACTATTGCTTCTTTGTACGAAAGCTAATGACGTACTTTCTTCCAAAAGAGACAACAGTAATTAGTTTGTCATTAGATGCCAAAAAGAAACAGACTGCTCTGAAAACCTTTTAACCAAATGTCTGTGCACGGAACTTCAGCAAAGTATTAAGATCCGACACTGAAGTTGAAACCTTTTATAACCATGGATATATTCCACCATAAATTGCTGATGATAGTTCACGAACAGCATCCGTGTTAGTTTTGATGTAAACGAAGTCTTGCATTTCTGCTAATAGTGAGTCCATTACCAAACGCCACAAGAGAGAGAAGGGTACCCCACCCTGAGGGCATCCTCTCCCAACCTCTATCATGATACAAAGACCAGTTTCCTCGCCACAGTCAACAATCTTCTAAACACTGAATCCACCCGACTAACTGCTCATCCACTCCACGCTTCCTGACCGCAGAGCACATAGAGACATGGTTAGCGTTGCCAAACGCCCCCTTAATATCTGAAAATACCACTACGCTACGATAGAGCTGATTAACAGCACTGTCCACCAAAAGCTTTGATCTGGTTAAAGCTGTTACTTTTGTACCAATTGCAATTTCCATTTTCGTAAATCGAAATAAAATTTGTTCAGCATAAATTGACTCATAGCTTTTTCACCAGTCCTTTAGTCCTCACACCCACAGTATAAAATTGTATTAGCATTGCAGTTTTCATTAAATTACCCATTGAAGCAGTGAATAAGCTGAGTTCACATTCGATTGTTGTACGCTCGCATATTCGCAAATAATGCCATCGGTTGGGCACGAGCGCACACAACTGCATTCGCCGCCGCCACTGAATGAGTGAGTATTCGCATAAAAAGCGCCTAAGCCAACTTTTCACTTTGGAATTTTCACGAAGTGTGGCAGCGGCATTTTGCATACGCAAGCAGAATAAAAGTTCAAATTAACAAAGCTATGAACAACAGCAACAACGACATTTAAAATTAACATTGCATTTTTTTATGCCAACACAACGTCGAGTCGCACTCAGTTGGGTTTTTGGTTAGGCAGTCAGCAACCAGCCAGCAGTCGACTCGCAATTCACTGGCAATCGCTCTTCATCAACAACTTTACGCCCTTGCCCCTCGTTCACTCGCACACCACGCGCATCCCACGAAGCTCGCCCTTCTTTACTCACACTTGCCAACTCCTTGGCACACCTTGACCTAAATTTCAGGCGAAGCATAATTAAAGCACAAAACATGCTGGCAGCCTCAACAGCAGTCGACTGCGCTGCCAAAGCCGCCACCACTGCACAAAGCGCTGAATGTAGGCAGCAGGAAAGCAAGCAAGCGAGCGAGCGAGCGCGTGAGAGGCAGCGCTACCGGCATGCAAAGCACTTTTAGATACATAAATATGTATGCATGTACCCTGCAGTGCAAAGCTGAACTTAGTAGTATACGCCAAGTCCACTTCGTGAGCTCTTATTTAAGGATAGAAGTCACACCAGTTTGTTATGGAAAGTTGCTCGTTGAAAAAGGTAAACTAGTCGGTAGAAATTCCAGAGCTTTGCTCTGTCGGCCATTGCAGGAGCGGAAAACTGGCATTTCGTATAGCACGGCCAAGTTAAAAATACCAGTCGCTAACAATGAAAAAAGAGAGAACGTTACTAGTTGGGATGAAACGTAAAGTGGTACCCTTCTAGTTCACAACTAGTAGCTTTCCTTGCTGGGTAGTTACAAGTGTACGTATGTATGTATGTATGTATGTACGTAAATATCTTTGCTTGTTACGGAAGAATGCAGTGAGTGCATAGACTGACAGTCAACTGTTGAATGGCGATGCGCGGCGGCAGACAATGATACGTTTGCTTTTTTATTGCTTTTTTATTGCATCTTGCGGCTTGGGCTTGTTGAACGCGTTGAAAAACAATAGGAAAAGCATTTTCGCCTTTCATAATGGTTGAGACTATCACTGCTGGCACACACACTCGCGCACACTTGGCTTGGCCATGAATCCCTTCCATAGTTTAACGTCAGCTCGATTTCGGCGAGACACTATCGGACTAAAAATTGCAGCACCGCTTCTTAAATTGACGTTGTGAAGTGGCAAGTAAGCATCCGCAATCGTTCAAAGGCAACGAGCTGAATTGCAAATATCCTGTACTATTCCAGCCATCTGCGGCTACGCTCGCGCCACTCGTTTTCTTAATTGCTATTCTTCGTTTTTTGCTCCACCACACTCTTTCAGCGTTGGCAAACTCCTAGACGTTCGGCCACAATCATCAATTTTCGCTTGGTATTCCACTCATTTGCAATGCTCCGCTTCTTCACTTGCTCCTTCCCTATATCTATCTACATGCACCCATTCGAATTGTTTTGAATTAATTGGTAGCGTTATCTCGCAGTCTGTGCGTATGGTCGGTCATTGCTGCAGTGTGAAGGCGGAAGGTCAGCGGCAGGGAAATTATCTCGGCGGCAGTAGGCGTACATGGATCGACCCTAATTACACACAGTCCAGTTGGTTGCAGCTGCTACAGTAGCTAGGCAAAGTAGTAGTTGCAGTTGCGACAATGCCTGTTGTTATGTGGGGCAAATACTCTAACTCCACCTTGAACAGAACGGGCTTTTACAGAGGGGGATGATTGCTTTTATGGCATGAAGAACGCCCTTGGAAGTAACGCTGATGTCCATTTCCAGGCACCTTTTTAAGTAGCAAAATAAAAATGGCCCTTACCGCCCCAGTAATAAAGGGACTACATATCAAAGTAGTTCAGAGTTTTAGCTATTCGCCAACTAATTGGGTTTCTTGTCAAGTTTTGTCAATGTTTTGAGTTCGTTTGTAGTATGCGGATAGTACTTTAACGGTAGCATCGTTTACGACCTCATCTATGTAGCGATTCCCAGGAATCATTACCACACACGGGGTTTCGCAGCTAAATAATTCTCTTTGGAAGACTTGATTGTTCAAACTTTGAGCCACCGGTGAAAATGACCGCAGGCCGTTAGTCCGTTAATCCTGATCTGTAAAATTTTTTCGTATGATTCTCTTGGAACTCGTAGTGGAGAATTTATTCATTGAGCTACATAATCCAATTAACGATGGTCATATTGAATAAGTAGTATATATAACACCATGCGGCAGTTCGCGTAACTAAGGGCAGAAAGTAATAAAACTACGTTTTTGTTTTTCTAACTGACGTCAGAAATGTTTTGAAAAGACTTTCAAATTTTAAAGATATGATTAATTAAAAAAATTCTTTAAAAAACTCAGTGCAGTATAGAGTAATAATATTAATATCGTATAAAAGAGAAAATCCTGTAGAGCTAAAAAAGTTTAAATTTTTTTGCACAAAAGCACGAATAGGTATTGAAAAAGTCCTTTAAAAATGTTATCCTTGCATTTCCTTGTAAATTTGCAATACGTATTTTTGAAAAAATTTTATCTTAAGGACTGATATACACACGATCCCATCCTCAAATTTCGCACCTCTAACTTTATTAGCTTTAAAAACTAATATTAATTAAAAGGGCATTTTCAATATCTATTCGTCATTGTAAAAAAAAAATATTTAATTTTTCTAGCTCTACAGAATATTTTCTTTCATTTGTATCCATACTGATATTCTACATTGCAGTGATTTTATTAAAATAACTTTTTCATTAATTATATCTTTGAAATTTCAAAGTCCTTAAAAAATCCTGACATTTAAGAGAAAAGCTAAAAACGAAGTTTCGAAGGGCCAAACTTGCGTTACAGCTGTGGACCCTATCCATTTCTCTTCTATGTGTGCATTCCTCGAACGCCACCCACCAGAGCTGATTCCATATAAAAGAATGCATTATTGTGCAGTACTCGTATCATTAAATTTTTTCTATATGTACTCCTATTTGGCATACATATGTACAGATATCGTGCTAAAGAAACAAACATAAAAATATGTATCGTTATAGCTATAAGCAAAATATATACCAATTCATAAATTTTTCTTACAGTTGAAGTGCTACATATTTTTAGGCTTATTTTTTAATGCAAAAAAAAACGATGTTTTCCCTAAAAAAATTTTCGATATTACAGTCCTTATTTTGTGTCCACCTACTGTATTCTGAAGTAAAGTTTATTAATTAAGTCACTACCTTTTGCTTTTGTGCTCAGTTATCTATCGCTGTTTACGCCATTTCTTCATTTTTCGTAGCCCATAATTCACTCATTCTTATTGTCTGAAATTAAGTTGTTTGTTTGTTGTGCTTTTATACTGACTTACCGATGTCTTCGATGTCGGCGATGGCTGCTTGGAACTATTTCTTCAAGGTCGTCGTTTTTGTCGGACTCCATTGGGATTTGCATGTCGAAAGCGAAATCATCATTGTACTGAAGTTGACTGCGAAAAAGAAGTGAAAATAGGAAAATTAGAATTGAAAATACCAACGAACTAAAATAGATTACTTTAAATAAATCAACGGCTAACTATGTAGAGCGAAATATGAAAGACCACAAATTGGGTGGATAATTGCGAGTTGAAGCGCACGAAATATAATAGTCTCTTAATGACAAAGATACTCACGCTGGCTCATTAGATGGCATACTAAGTATGCAGTGTTGTAACCCACTTGGCGTCGGATACACCAGAACGGGATCTGAACATCTGTGGTAGCGTTCTATACAACGAAAAAAAAGAAACAAAAAAATATTGAAATTAAATTCTTCATCACTCTTCCGGACACTTACTGTATTTTCGTTTGCGCCGCCGATACTCATCGTCACTGCCACTCTGCCCTGACGGCCAGCTGGGCTTAAAGCGCTGCTTGTCTTTCTCGCGATCGCGTGAGGAGGATTTCGTTGTTGTGCAACAACCGGTCGGCGCCACACTGGAGCCAGTTGATGTTGAAGTCATGCGATTCAACTTGGCCGTGTCCGCAGGCACCGTTGACCCGGCCACAATGACCCCATTGACGGTGCCATTCCGAAAACCAGAGCTGTTCAACGCAATAACTGCCGTGGTGATTTCCGACGTGCCGCCCGTAGCGCTGGTGGCATGGTAAAGCGTAGGAGGAGGAGGCGATGCTAGCTGTGAAGACATGGTGGTTGCGTTGACAGCAGTCGTAGTAGCAATAGTCGTGGAGTGCAAGGGCGTTTGTTTTTGTGCGTTAGATACCGTTGCTGGCTGTACGGTGCCAGAGGAAGCGAATGTATTTTTCATATTCAAACTATCTACTAATTGATCACTATGACTAATATTGCTCGGCATTGTCCCACTCACCAAGATGCTGCCGTTGGCCGGCATGGGCGCGAACGGCGTTTGCAGTTGTTGTAGTTGTAGTGTTGGCGGTGGCCGTGAACGACTGCGGCCATTACCACTCACCAATAACAGACTTGTGCTCTTCGATTTGAAGCGATCACCCAGCATGAAAACGCCTGCACCGCCGACACCGCCACCGGTGAACGAAGTGGTTGGCGAGTATATTGGCGCGTGCAACGACAATGAGTCGCTCTGATTCAACAATGTGCTGACAGTCAAATTTGCACTCTCCTCGGAAGTGTTCTGTCGTGAGATGTACCGCGAATAGGCTGACGCTTCGCCAAAGTCGCCTCCTCCACCGTAAGCGCTGTCCGTATAAGACACTTGGTGGCGAAAGATGTGTTGTTTTGTCTGGGTAATTTTGTTGCTGGTGGGGACCGTTGGAATGTCGCTACCGACGGCGGTGAGAGAGGCAGCTTTGGACGACGCGGTGTACGGAACGGCAGTGGTGGGCGTGATTATGTGTTTAGTGGCGGTGGAGGCCTCCATTCTGGTTGTAGTTTGCGCTGGCGGAGGCATGGGCTCCGGTGCTTGTATGGTCCCGATCAAATGACGTGGCAGTACGGGACTGCACTGCGCGCTAATTGACTTTGCTTCCAGTACACGCAAACGTTTGGCGATGCGAGCGCGCTCGTACAAGAGCGAGGCAGTTTCCTCCGGTATGATTTCGGCGCCGCCAAAACTCACCGTGCAACGTGAGCTGCCAAATGATAAGCTCTCAATGCTGTCGCGCAACGAGGTGAGACTATCATCGGCCATAGTCGAGGTGTGTAGACGAGCACCGGTGCCATTTTCGTACCCGCTGGCAAGTGAGGTGGTGTCGTAGGTGCGCTCCAACAAAGAGGCGGGCAGTCCACCCACTCCGCCACCATTTCCGTTGCCATTTATAACTGAAACTGAACGTCTGCGACCCGCTGCGCCTTTCGAGTCGCCAGAGCCCGAACTGGACGTCATCACCTCAGCTGGTGTGTGCGTCTGAGCGCGTACCAATAAACTGCGCTTCATGACGGCCTGACCAGCACCACTCACATCATTCTTGTCCGAGGAGTTGCTGAGCGTACTCGTGACGCTTTCTTCTGCAGGCTGTCCGACGGCCGCACCTTGGGTGTGGGGGTCTGTACTAAGCCGGGTTTTTACCTTCTGTGTCTTCGTTAGTGTCGCACGTGTCATCTGCGAACGGTGACTGCCATTTGATGCAGACGCTGAGGCAGAGACAACTTCGATGTCATCGCCGACCTGACGTCCGCTTTGTCCGCTACGTCCACTCGGCTTTCTGGCAGTCTTCGGGCTACGAAAAGTCGTTGGTGAAGCGATCATTGCCCCCAGATCGCCACGCATGAATACGTCGGGTTCGCTGTCGCCACGCACTTTCCGCGAACCGCCAAATAGCTTACGGCTGAAGAATATGCGGCCGATCGATTTGCGTTTCATGCGCTTTGCTCGTTTGCGCTCTTCACACTCTCGCTTGATGGCCATTATTTTCTTCTGCAGCAGTGTTGTGAAAATTACTTCATAGGTGAGTGCGCGCTGCAAGTCCTCGAGGGTGTCGTTCGTGCTGACCGCTTTGTCGACCATTGCCAGAGGTCGGGGCGTGGGGCTGTCTTCCGCATCGAACACGTCGTCCGGCTGCTCTTCGGGTGTGCTTTGTTTGGGCGCATTTGTCATAGCTGTAACGCTCTCGCCTGCTGGTCCTTTCAACACTCCAACCAACGAATCTGTCTTCTCAGCGATAACCGTCCCGGGTGGAATAATATCGTCACTTACAACTTTCTTTGGAAGCGCCTGGCCTTCCTTACTGTCCCAAGCTTTCGACGCATCTTGTAAAAGCACTCTCCCGTTTCCGTTTCCGTTCCCTTGCTCGTCCACTGTTTCTTCTTCCATTATATCTTCTTTATGCTTATCCTTAATTTATAGCCGACACTATGAAGTTTCCCTTTGGATTTAGCATTTTGTTGCTATTGTGGTTATTATAGTGTTTCTTTTTTTTTTTGCTCAAAACCAGCTTTTCTTGTGGTTCTATCTTCTTCGATATTCCATTCGTTGGTGTCACATAGTTTTTGTTTGTCTGCCAAAAAATATTTTTCAATTATTCGGTGATATGAGTTCGACTGCAATAGTCGGTGTCGATGCTGTTCTTTGTGGTAGTGTGGTTGTAGTGACATCTATAAAACATTTGAATTGCTGTCTTATCTCTGCCTCGCTTGCTGCGTATGCTCTGTGTTGCATTGGAATGTCATTCATATTCGAATTGCTGTTGCTTTTGTGGATTTTTCCAGGCATGATTTATTACTCTGAGTGCATATGTCCTCGTATGTGTAAGCCTTTTATGTCATTCCGATTGAATATCTTCGCTTTTATGCTACGCCAGCTTTGGCTTCCCTTCCCTGCTTCACACTTCAACGTTTCTATTATTTCTGCGACGCTTTGAGTGGCACTTGAATGGCAATCACAATCACTCAAGTCGACTCAAGTGCTTTCTGGGTGGAGTGAGATGAAAGTTATCTGTGAATTCACAAATAAAAAAGGAAAAAAGTGTCGTTCAAGAATTTTACGATAAAATCAGCTATTAATATATAAAGTGATATACATATGTATATTCATAGGTTTCATAGTGAAGAGTTCTTTCATAAATATATACATACTTATATATATAGGTAAAAATTGTAGCTTGGCTTTGCTATGAGTAACATAAATATGTGATTTGGAACTGATGTAATTAGAGATATAATTTGTTATCCCAAGAAGAAAGGAGAGGATACTTAAGGAATCGTTCAAAAAGGTCTCCGAAATTTAATGAAAATACCAAACGGTCTTGAAGAAATCTGGAAAATTTGCCAAACAGTTCTAACAAAATCGCGAGAAATCCGGAAATCCGGAAAAGTTCCATCTCAAAAAAAGGTCTACCAAATCCCAAGAATACCGAAAGCACTCGGATATTATATCTAAAAATTCCGAAATCCGACGAAAGCCCCGACAAATATCCGGACAAAAGTTACAAAAAAAATGAAATCAATTCCTCGCTAAACAATATATCAAAAAAAAATTGTACACTTTAAAAATAAAAATCAGAAATAAACCTATTTTCCTGACCAACACTGAAACACAAAAAATTGGCAAAGTCATACAAAACGCTGTTCTAAAAACTAAGATAACGAATTTGACTTTAGCAAAGCGGCATACAAATTTTATGTGTGCGTTTTGGATTTTAATAGCGTACAGTGTTCCCTTGAAATCGGTTGAGATAATCAAGCACCCCTGCATTGTTGGTCTCCCTTCATTGGAGATAAGAAACAAAACCAACTCGCAAGAAAAACTAAAATCATCTCATTTTGTGTACGGAAATTAGTAAAAGCTTTAAAAGCTTTAAAAGTTTTCTAATAATCCAAATCACCTAATTAAATAATCTTTGACATCTGCGACTTTCGACGGATGATGACAAAATGTATGCTAATCTAAAACCGATTACCCATGGATGACAATTAATCAAATTAAATGCCAATTTAATCACAACCAAACAAGCTGCTTGCAATTATAAGCCTATTTGTAATGGTATATGTAAGTATGTATGTGTGTTTGTGTGCGTGTTCATGCGGCTATGTTTGTATGTCAGCATCAGTTGCATTTGCGCCATGTGTGGCATTTTGCATAGACATAGACGCCAGTAATCAAATACACCCTGAAGACATGGAAGCGACGACTCAAGCGCGCCACACGTGCTGAACCAATGTAAATCACTGCCTGCCTGCCTGCCTTTACCCTTGCTAAACATGTCCGGGCACGCACACTTGCATATTCAACTTTACTGTCACTCACTGTCGCACGTCTCCGAGAGCGCTCATCATTTGGGAAATCCCTAACTGCCGTTGATATCTGCGCGAGGTGGTTTTGCTGCATTCCGCAGCCGCAGGCCACAGAAGTCTACGTTACGTCGGTTTGCATAAGAGCTGCCACTAATGAAGCCATCAACAGCAACGACAACACACACACAATCAATGTAACCAGTTACAAGCGGTTGCCAACAGCTGCACCATCTCAGAGTCGCACACAAAATTTGTGTTCGTTTAGTCACTCCGTCAATCAGTTGGTTTGATTCCAACTTGTTATTGATGCATTTGAGAATATTGTATTGCGCCAACTGTTAGGTATTGGGGCGGAAAAACCCGTTGCTGATGGCAACTTAATTTACATACACAAACAATAGCTTACGCGTACGCTGTATATGTAAACATGTTGGTAGTGCAGATTGCACAACAACAACATCAGAGAATAAGGCAGCAACAGTGTTGAATGCTCTGTTGAGAATCCTTTGTAGATTTTTAGCTTCTGAAGTTCCTTATTCCACCGTGGAAGAGGAGTGTAGTTAAGCATGAGTTAGTCAAGATTTATCCGAACTGGCCGGTCGAGCAGTCGTTAAATCAGTGCTCGAAACCTTCGTGGAGAGTGCCTTATACGACTATACCATCTTCTTTAAGTGGAAAATCAATCGCAGAACAAATTCAAACTCAATAGTCTCCAGCATTGAGATGAACCCACCCCTTTTTCAACATTTTACCAATTACCTTTTACCTTGTCAAGCAAGCGTGGACCAGGCGCAGGAATGACCAGGCTCAGAATATCAAAGCAAAGAGGCAGAATTGCGTGGACCAGGCGCAGGAATGACCAGGCTCAGAATATCAAAGCAAAGAGGCAGAATTAATTCAAGCATTGGAAACCCTCTTAAATTGGATCTTTTATTCCGCCAGATTGTCATCAACGAAATGGCATTACATCACAAGTCGGAAGCTTTTATCGAAATTACCGGCACAATTTAAACAACAACCGCATAGCATTCCTCCCTTTTCGCGCTTGAATTTCGTCATAGCAACCAACCTAAAGTTGGAGGACCCTGAATTAACGTCGCAGATTGATCGAAGGTCACCTCGAATTGCATCAATTAGAATTATAAAATAGGTATTCCCATGAAAAAGCTCCTTAGTTCACGCACCGGGGATTGAACATATGTCCTAATCCGTTTTCGGAACTACGTAAATTAGCAACTTCTCTATCTTCTGTGGTTGGAGAACTTTTTGATAAGAAGTGTTGTGAAGAGTAAAGGGCACAAAAAATCTAAAGGTCGCTCTGCAAAGCAAACCTCATTTAAATATCTGTCCATCATCTATCTACGTAGGTACCCATAGTGAAATCGAAATTTACCATTTTTATAATAATTTTGGGTAAATAATATAATACGTACAAAAAGCACAAGAAATTCAATTGTTACAAAATTTTTCGAAAGTTCATTTCAACGCAAAAATGTTTAACAAACTACATAGTTCAACACATTTGCATTTTTTAACGCAATTAGTTTCATTTAAGTTCATCAAAAGCTTTACTTAATTTACTTTTTCCGCTGCAATAAAGTCGCAAATGAAGTCGCATTGACATACATATGTACATATATGTACACATACATACATGCAGGACGTGTTGTTGTTTGTCGTGCGCATTTATAGCACACCACTTCCAACCAGCGTCAACAACAACAACAACATAAACAGAAACACTCAAGTATCGTTTAAAATTTGAACAGTTGCCAACAATGTTGCAGATACAGCTGACACAAACACGCAATATTGTGGCCATAGACAAGCAACAAGCAACAACAACAACAGCAAACAGGTGAGGAAACAATAATAGTTAAAATAACAATGGGAAACTAACACTGGTAACAACCCTTTGTGGCAACACAAGCGAACAACAAGGCGACGCGCTGCTGATAGCTGCGTAGTGGGGCGCGAGGGTTCTGCATGGCGTATACGTTACGGGCTGCATATGGAGTTTTAGTTTCTGAGTGGAAGGACAATCGTGTTTGCTAGTCTTATTAATGAATGATTGAAATTTGTCCGCACTTTTGTTGTCGAAACTCTTTTCCGGGGGAAACATAGATCTTTTACTTGGATTGCAGCGAAGCCTTCCGGCCACTTAAGGCACTTTTTTGGTGTAGAACATACAAGGATATTTTATACCAATTTGCAGTCGAGTGCATATAGAAAAGTAAAATCAAAATCGGCGCTAAGTTATGGCTGAAAAATCGCCAATGTAAATTCACATTTATAACTACTTGAAAACAAAACCAACACAGCTGTTATCCTTAAACCCTTTTTCCCACCACATTTCCTTAAAACGGAAGCAAGTACTCGCCGCACTTTGTCTTGCAGGGCTTGTATTTATTGGCGTTGGTACTCCTTGAAGTTTGCATTTATTTGCTTGTTTTTGGTTAAGGGCTACATACATACGTATGTACATCAAGCTACAAGCATATACGTGTGTATGTATGTATGTATATCCGCCACTTACAACCAACGGCAGCTGGGAGCGACCACTGATCAAACCAGCTGCGCTTCGTTGTTTTGAGTGTTTTTGAACCAACTTCTGCTCTACTTTGGTAATTATTTGTTGTCTTTCGGTCCATGCAAAAGTTTCGATAGCAAAACAGCGGCGCTTTGCGAGCGCAATGGCGTGCACTGTATTTGATTATGGAAGTATTTGAGTAGTTTAAATTGCGATTTTGCTTTAAGTTGAGTAATAAATGACTTAGCATTATAATGGCGTTGGGAAGTGGCGCTTAACTCTGATTCTCAAAATATTGTCTGATTTCAAGTGTACGGAAGTTAAAATTTATCAATCTGTGCCGGAAAAAGTAGGTTATTTCCTTGATATGGGTTCTAATGAAAAATTGTAATATTTAAACTTAATTGCTTGGATATTCTAGAATTTCATTCGAAAAAAAACCAAAACCACATACCTTTACTCATTCACTTCTGTTTAGCAAATTGTTTTACATTCAACTTTTCCATGCGATCATCGAATTTGATTGTAGAATGCGGTAGTATTTTAGTTTTAGATAGATTCTATAATGGCTCAGTTCACAATACCACGCTATCCAGAGTTTTGGAAAACTGCAC